TGCCAAACAGTAACTAGTAGTACCTTTTCTTTCCAAATGTCCGTACCTTTTCTTTCCACTGACATGTCCAAGGGGCCCATGGAAATATTTTTCTTGGAAAATAAATCCTTATGATGTACTTATGTATCTCCAAGGTCATTATTAGCTAAGTAAACAATACTGTCTTCCTTTATTTCAGTCCTATGGTCATGCAACTAAGGAATATTTTAATACAGTTTTCATAAAACAATTGTTTTCTTATAATATGATCACCCACGGCCTATACTGGCATTGTGAAATTGATGTAAGAAACCTATACTAACCTTCAAAGCTATATCTACTAAAGTAAAACACAGACAATGAATATTTGAATTTCTGTGGTCTGCCTGGCATGGTAAATTCATCCACACCCAAGTCTCCATGATAAATTAATAACAGTTATTTATAGATCGCTACCAGTAAGCTACACAGTTATGATACGAGCTAGAAAATGGTCAACAAAGTTATCTAAATATAATCAGTTACAGTAATAACTGCACTCCATATTTACCATATCCTGGGATTGGTGGCATTTTATTTTATTTGCCTGTTTACTTGTCTGCCCGCCTCTTTACCCAGACTAAGCTACTCGAGGGCATGAGCCATTTCCCACTCACTGCTGTCGCCTGGTTCCCTACCGCAGTGCTCATGCTCGAGAAGTGCTTGTTGAACGCGAAGTAAATAAATGAGCAAATACCAGTGCCACATGAATTCTATTAAAAACTCCAGAAAGATTAGAAAATGTCTAAGTGTGGTTTGTTTGTTTTTTAATTTTAAAGAAAACTAATAATTTTTGATCACCTTAAATTCTGAATAGTATAATATAGGTTCATTTAATTTAGCATACTTAGCATGTCTATAAACAATCATTTTTTTCTAATTGGACAGGTTATAGTATTTCCTCCAAAAGAAACTCAGTTGTTTTGGTGAAAAGGCAGCACTGTTTTAAACTGGACAGATTGATTAATCCATCCTTTTTGAAATGTTGTCTCTTACAATCTTTCTTTTTGTAAAATCTTAATATAATAAATAATTTACTTCAGAAGAGGAACAAACAAAAATGTCTCTCACTAAAAAGGTGACCTCTTAAGACACCATATGTCACCAGCACCAGAAGCCTTGGAGAAGACAGAACTAGCAAATAATAAGATATAACTGTGTCAAGCAGACACAGGACTAGAACCCCATTAATACATTCATGCGTGATTTTTCCTGCATGTATTCATCTACTTACCGGCACATGGAAAACAAATAATACCCATTTCTCAGGTCTTCCAACAGAGACCAGAGACCTTTATAACACACACACCCCCACTCATCTTTCCCCACTTAGTTCCACTCCACACTTTCCACCATGCTGCCTGCATATCCTACCATGTTTTGTTCTTTGTAATATCAATCTTCAATAGCATAAACAGACAATTCACTTTACCTTTTTCTTTACAAAAGACAATTTGAGAAGGGCATTAGTCTTTGGGGGAAAAGTCAAACATCTTATCTGAGTCTGTCTTTTAAAAATATAACTAAAATAGTGGTTCAGGATTTTTAGATTTCCTATGTTTCAGACTTGAGAAAATATTTTAAATGGGACAGATTAAATTTAAAATGAATTTAAGGGAGAGGAGGGAATATTGGTATTTGATTTTCATAGCACTATCATGGAGAAGAGTCGATTTTACCATTTTTAAAAAATCAATTTTAAGCTTGAACTTGAGTACCAGGCCTTATCAGGAAGAAAAAGAAAAGAAAAATTTTATCTTCCTTGACAATGGTCTACATTCCAGCCACATGGTGAACAAAGTTAGGCAGAAAACTCCTCTTGGTACATTACAAGTAAAATTGCTGGATAAGTGATTAAAAGAAAACCATTTTTTTTCAATGCCATTAAATTGTCACAGAAATAAGAGGAAGTCTTTTGAAGGCAAATAAGCACAAGAAATCAAGATTTCAGTGGAGTGAATGTGCTCTGGAGACCTGGGAGTATCTGTTGAACCCCAGTGCACAAGAGTGGGGGGTTAATGGGCCACAAGTGGTATAAGAGAAGCCTGAGGCTGGGTCTAACCTTGTTCCTTCCCTCTCACCCTCGCTACCCATGTCTCCCTGTGAAATGCCCCACTCAGGAGGAGACTACACAGCTATGTCAGCAATTACCCTGATGACTGATATTTCGACAGATGCAAGACAGTGAGATGGTATCTTCAAGGTATTGAAAAAATAAACATAATCTAAAATTTTACATCAGGCTTACTAAGTTCTTTCTGAGAATGAAGTTAAAATAAAACAATTTTCAAATACATAAGAACTAAATATTTACTACCAACAGGCTTTTTACCTGGGAGACTTTTAAAGACTTTCTTCAGGAAAAAATTGTTAACACGAAACGCAGACACAGAGATATAGCTATTGATTACACAAAATAATAAAAACAATGTCTTGTTTGTGAAGTTAAAAAATGCAAAACTAAAATCCACAGTAATTACCACATACATACTAATGAGAAGTGGAGTTAACTGTAGTGAGAACCAAACCAGCTTGGAAAATAGGACAAAACCACCTACCAGTGAACTCCTTACAGTAGCATGATATTACTATTTTATTGTTGTTATTATTGCCCAGGAAAATAACTTTACTATTCATTATAGGAACTTCCCAAAAGAACTATTATCTCCTTCAACTGAAAGTATCAACAGTTCACTACCTAACATTGCTGAAATCCTTGCCTAAAATACCCTGCCTTGTTTCCACCAATTCAAAACTACTAAATCCTGATCCTTACCCATTCTTAATCAAGTCTCCACACTGAAAGATCCATTTTTGGTTTTGCTTTTGATCCCCAGATTCTACTAAAGCTTTCAAGGTGGTCTCCTCTGTCATCAAGTTAAGCAATAAGCGCAGCTCTATCTTATCAACACAGTATGATGGTGGCTGAGGAGTTAGCATTCCTCAGTAGTCAAAATGTTCTCAGGTAATTTTATATTTTGGGAAGGGGGCAAACATTGATTAGCTTTAGATATTAAGTAAAAGGTGTATTTCTAAGGCAGCCATTAGAAACATGTTATTTATACAATTGTATACTACACATTAGGGTAAAACAGATGATCTAAGTTATCTGCATCAACATAAACTAAATTTTAAAAGATCACATTATTTAGTTTTACTTGTTTTGAAGTGTCTATCAAGTCACAAAAGTATTATCCCATTGACATGTATTTCAAAACAGGCAAAAATAATTTACTTTTTATAGGATAATATGTAAGAAAATATGTACATGTGGTAAAATTATAGAGAAAACAGGAGATGAAAGGAAAACAACCCACAAACTTAGACAATGATTAAATTTGCAGGGACAAAAGGGTGTCATCAGGGAAGAACAAAGGACTTCAGAACTATTCAAAGAGTCACTTTTCTTAAGTTGAGTCTCATACTGAGTGAGCTGAGTCACAATCTAGGTTAGGCATGCTGGACGATAGTATAATTTTTATTATTTAACTATTAGCATACATTATATACATGCACACATAACTACGTACATACACATACATATAATACTTCTCCTCCCATAACACAACCAACTAGGTGTGAGGTATCATGTAGCCCTCTTGGCCTTGACCTGTGGGAACTGCAACTAGGAGAAGAGGCACAAGGAAGTGCGAATAGTCTGGCTACTGCTACTGTTGTAATATAGTCCTTTGTCTCTGATCCAGGAGTTTCCTGTCTTCTGTCAGCATGTATGAATTGTGGTACTAATGCGCTACTTTGAAAGAAGAACAAAATCTTGAACGTTTCATAATTTTTGACAATATTATGAAATCCTATATATGAGAAGAAGATAAGAGGTGCAGCTTATAGCGTGATGAAAAATATCTAATATGGGTGGTAGGGAAAACAGGTTTTAACATTGGTTTAGGTATAAAATATGAAAGATATATAGGGCAGTTACTTTACGTCTCTGTGTCTGTATAGATAGTTAAGACAGTTTCTATTCTCAAAGTCTAAGATTATAGATGTAAGAAAAAAAATAACATGAAATGCGATGTTGCAGAATGCAGAAATGTGAAAAAATCTAACCATATAAATGTTAAAGATACAAATTGTGATGACGGCAAGTGCAAAGTTTATTTCATCTGTACTGAAATGTTTATCTATAATGTACCATAAAATAAAAATTCTCTTTTAAGTTGTATATCAAAGAAAAAATAAAGAACTCTACAAAGAAGCTCAAGTAAAATATTTTTATGATATACAAATGCCACTGAAGTGAAAAATCTTCAATAAGACCACCCAACCTTGACAAGTGTATTCACATAGGACTTAAAAAGTAATATTTGTATGACATACAGTAGGTGGTCTTTTGCGTGGATGAAATACTCCAGCTGACTTTGGTTCATGAACGCTTCTAGGAGAATTATGATAAATTTCTACCAGGCAAACCATAATGTTCACCTAAATTTCTTCAACTCTGCTTTCAGAACTGTATTTTTTTGTGATGAAGAATTCTAACTTCTTAGTCTTATGTGAATGTACTTATAAGTATTTATACTTATAAGTATTGGATACTATGGGTAATATGGATACTGCTTTTTCTTTTAATAACTTGTTTATTTTATTGATTTGGCTATCAGGAAGCTCAAATGTAGACGTTTCAGCACTAATGGTAACACGTTTCTAGCACAACTGCTTCCCTTTACTTGGCTTTTTATTCTCTACTCCTTATTTTAAATTGTTTTACTCTATATGTATATTTTACCATAAATTATCTGAAATTATTCTCAGAAGTAGAAGAAACTAATGACTCTGTATGTATATGTACGTATCTAATTTTAAATGAAACATAGCTTAAATAAGATTGTAAATTTCTTGGATGACCAGGAAAACATAACAGAACAAAAGGTACCATTTAAGATCACACCATCAAAATGCAGCAACTTGAAGGACTACAACAATTGTTACAATCTGTTGCAATTTCAAGTATGATGACTTACTTGCATATGTCATCTTCTGGTTCTTCAAGCCCAAATCTTTCATCAAATGTAAGTTGTATCCATACATTTTCCTCTACTGCTACTAATCTCCATACCAAGACCATATTTCTTGGATAAGTATGAGGAAACTTTGGGCTGTGAATACTTCCATTAGTAGACACAGTAATAATTCTTTCATGCTGGGGAGCTTGCACTCCTAAAACAAAAACATAGGCATAGACTTACATTTAGAATGGACATTTCAAAAAGCATACATTGCAAAATAAATCTTTTTTTAAAATCATCCTCATTTTACCCCAAACAAGTGTTCAGTATACTTTATACAATATAAATTAAGAACCACTCTTTTCAGAATTTATCCAGGGGAAAAGATTATTTTAACATTATTGAGTAAAAACCTGTGTATATTTATACTTCAAAGAACATAGAAAATTAGTTTTTTTAAATCAAATTACTAATTTTTCAAATAACCAATTCTTTTGGATTCCTACTCAATCAACTTAAGACCCTAATCTCCAAGAACGTATCAAATATGAGTCATATCAAAACAAAAAGAAACTTGATATAACTAGTTTTAAAAATATAAGTTACGATTAAAGTCCCCTAATCATGAATAGGTGAGATAACATCTGAGTTCATCAAAATGTAGATTATCTGCCTGAGCTTAACCTAATAGAGTGAGCCCTTAAAACAATCTGTGCCTTTCCTAAATTCAGAGAAATTCAGAGTGTGAGAGAGATTCAACAGGAGGGAGATTCTTTGTTGTTGGCTTTAAATATGGAGGAGGCAAAATGCCAAGGAATGTGGGAAGCCTCCAGAAGCCAAAGGCAGTCTAAGGCTGACAGCTAGCAAGGAAATGGGACCTCCGTCCTAAACTTCATGAAACTTGAATGAGCTTGGAAGCAGTCTCTTCTGGACAGCCTCCAGAGAGAATGGAGGCTGACTGACACCTTGATTTTAGCCTTGCACAACTCTGCAAGAACTAGTCACACAATGCCCAGACTTCTGACCAATAGAGCTAAGAATAAATAGAGTTTTAAACTGCAAAATGTATGGTAATTTCTTACATATTGTTAGAAAATGAATACATCTTCTATTGGGCACAAGGCTGTTTGGATGGCAAGTTATTTCTTTTGCCTCCATTCTTCAGCAGCAATTACAGTAATAGTAATTACAATAACAGCAGCAACTTTTCATTTAGTATTATGTTAGTCAAAGTACAGTACTGAACCATGATAAAATGCAATTTAAAAATACTGCTCAAAGAAACTTCTTGAATTTAAAAGACAATGCCAAGGGTCATGTATTAGTAGGATCATGTAATTAAGGTTAAAGAATAAACTTTTTGACTGTTAAAACACCCAAAATAATTTTAAGAAGTTTATATATGATTCTTAAAGCAGTTTTTTCATTGTCTTAAACAACTGTTTCAATCATCAGTTTCATAAGTATTATTTTCTAACTTATAATCAGGAAGACAAGGTAAAAACAAATATAATGTCCTTTGACTAATGCCCAGTGCACATTGTGGGAAATATCATCACACTATTAGTAAGATATGCTTTAAGTATCTAAATGTGTGCCTAAACTCATCCTCAACAGTAAATAACTTACATAGAAATACAATCCCTCTTAACTGGATGCTAATTTTTGATACTGTTGTTGGCTATATTAACATATATGAAATATATGAAATAACTCTTCTATGTACATAAGTTAGCACCAGTATATCTCCTAAGAAGACAGAGGATCTATCAAATTAGATGAGTTCTTCCATATAGTGACATGTTTTATTAAAAAAATAACAATAATTTTCTATTAAAATTAAATTAATAAATTGTTTTCAAATATTTCTTTTAAAAATGAGATAGTTCTTCACTCTCTAAATTTTCTTCCAATAATCTGCATATTTCAGAAGGTGTTTATAGTAGTAGCTTGTAGCAAGGGTCCTTCTTACTTTACAACTAATATTTTTAATAAATTAAATTTTCTAATCAGATTTGTTAAAATGTAATATTTGCCCCATTATTGTCTCAAAACGAATGCCTTATATCCCAAGCCACTCTTTACAAATACAGCAATGTTTACTATTTTATATACAACCTAGAAAACAAAATGGTTATTAAAAGATCTTAATTTTATTTTTATATCTCCAGTCAAAAAAGCTAATAGATAAAATGTATATACTTAAATTGCTTACACCACTTTTCCTTTATAATTCACCATTCCATTAAACTATAACTAAACATAATTTATAGACTGAAAATACAGGCCTTATTTGTGGTAAAAGAATTATAAATATCCTAAGTTAAATTGCTGCTCCCCAAAATTCATCTCAAAATGCAGTGAGGTTTGTCACCAAACACATATGATTTTGCACATGACTGTCAAAGTTTTATGTAAATCTCAAAAAAGTACCCCTATAATCAAAACGAAAAATAAACAACAAACATTAAGTTCTACCAAATTAAGACTTTACATTTATAGCCCTGCCATTTAAAAATATCATCTTTCCAAATATATAACTTACTGGTATTTTAGGAATGAGATGAGTATATATTTTGTAACTATTTTATTGAATGTCTTCTTTTCCTTTATCCAATAAACAGTACACGCAAAGAAAGTAATAATGAAATAAAACAGTTGTTTGTAGTAAAATCACTACACTATTTCTAAAATGCTCCTTTAAATGTATTCTAAGTGAGAAAAATTATTCATTATAGATGAATTTAGCATGAAAAATGAAAATGTGCAAACACTAAATTTTTTTAAATGATAAGTATGCACCATTTTATATTACCCTGCACAACCCCTCTTAAAGTATAAGTATTAAAAATTAAAATGAAACAAAATTAGAAAAGAGGGAGATTAATAATGCTAATACTATAAAATTGATTATGCATGTACACATACAATTCAACTACATAGAATCATTGTATATTCATATGTTTTCAATAAGCTTAGCATTACAATCAAAATACTTTCCTAATATTTTCCATGCTGTTAGTCCCTTTACAGCTAAAAGAAGGTAAGAATAAGAGAATCATAGAAAGCAATAAAAACTATAATAATTGAAAATAGTATGTTATTAATAAAGATAACACTAAAAAAGATGTTTCTGGATAATATATAATTCATAATGAAAGATAAATCATCCACTTTCTTCTCTATTCTAATGTTTTAAGTTAATTGTCACAAGAAAGACCTGTAATAGTAAGGATTAAGTAAAAAGAAATGTGTCTCCAATCTTGGTTTAGTTTTAGAGTCCTGAGGAATTCTGGTTCCTGTTTCACACAGGCAACACTGTAGTGACATGTCACACGTAAACTGGTACACTTCACTGGTGTCCTGTGATATTTTTGATGTGTTTATTTCCAAATCTATGTTACTTTTAAATTGTGTATAAAAAGGTACTTCTGTAATAGTCAGTTGCATCTATTTTCAAATCCTACTTGATAAATACATATATTCGCCAGTCTTATTTATGTTTTGCTCTGCTCACTGTTTGTTCCCCTGTGATAATTCTTCTTTATTCTAATCTTGGTACTTTGTTTATAATAAGCTATTCCTATTTCCAATCTCAGTAACTCGCAATTAACAAATTTCACTTGTAAACAATAGTTAAAATCATATGACATATATATGTAAAAGCTAATTTTACTGCTTCCCTGATTGACACCATTTACCTAGGAAATCCTGAGTAATCTCATCCTAATCTTCTTTGACTTTGTAGAGGGAAGATAAACTTGAGCTCCACATAGCAAACAAATATCTCCCTATACAGACTGAGGAATCTCAGAGGAGTGGCGGGGAGGGATTAACCAAATAATTTATATCTATATAAGCATAACTCATGGACACAGACAATAGTGCAGAGAAAACCTGGGGGTGGGGGTGGGAGTAAGGTGGACGGGGGTAACGGGGGAAAAAGCGGGACATCTGTAATACTTTCAACAATAAATTAAATAAATAAATAAAAATTCCAAATGATATAGAAGTATCCCATTTTCATGATTCATATTTATAATCCTGACTATTAACACAAAAGACTAATATAGTAAATGAAAACTCAGACCCCATCAGCTCAATCTACTGTTTGTCATACCTTTAAAGCAATAGCAAAATAAAACAAATATAATCAAGTTAGTTTTGTTTACCTCAAACTGTTTACAAACTACACGAATAAATGTTCATTAAGGAAAAATAAGGGATTGCTCTATTAAGGAAACCATAAAATAATATATTAAAGATGTGTTCAACTGAGGTTCTTGAATTTATCCTACAAGATAATCATTTTATTCCTCAAGGGAATGAATAGTCAAAAATCATATGTTGAGACGCTCTCAGGTTTCATGCACTGTTCCAGGTGCTTGGGACATCAGAAACAAAACAAGGCCTTGTCCTCTTAGCATGACAACTTCTGGGACTTTAGTTGAAGATCATTACTTGACTAAGTATACTAATTAATATTCAACTGTCAAAACCCACTTTGGACATTACCTAGTTTAGATTGCCATACTGATTCTTGTGTACATTCCTTCAGGACCACATATTTGAATCATAATGTATGGGTTGATCTTTCTTTTCTACCCCACTACACATTCCTAGAAGATAAAACTATTTTTATTAAAGTCCATAACCAGTATCTAGCACTGTGCCCAGCCCGTGGCATTACTTCATACATATCAAACAAACTTGATATCCCAGAACATCACTGAAAACAATTTTATGTTTTTTTAAAATGTCATCCTTAATTCCTAAATTTCCAGAGACTGTTCATATAAAATGAAAGAGATTTTTACAATTTATACACCTCGGAAATTAAAGTCCCTTAATTTGTATTTCATACCTTACTCAAAATTCATCTATTATAATCTACATGTATTTTTCACCTGATGGCAATAGGTAGTAGAGTACTCATTGTTGAGATTTGCCATTTTCTTTATAGGCTTGCTTATTTTTAAAAAATAAAATGTTCTATAATTTTGACATATTTTGAGAAAGCTACGATTTAATTATTATTTTATCATAACTGTGAAAATATAAATCAATTGATGATAAAATTTGTTATTTCAGGCAAGACATCTGATATCATTTTTTATAAACTAGAGATAATCACAAACTATTTTAAAGTTCAATAAAATAATAACTGAATAAATTAACCAAGTTAATAATTATAAATCAGTATGTACAGAAGGAGAAACTTTGTCCACCATATTCTGTCTAATTTAAATACAATGGGAGAGCCGGGTCGGGCGTGGCTCAGTGGTTGAGCGTCGACCTAGGATCCAGGCGATCGGGGTTCGATTCCCGGCCAGGGCACATGCCCGGGTTGCGGGCTCGATCAATGACTCTCTCATCATTGATGTTTCTATCCCTCTTCTTTCCTCTCTCTGAAATCAGTAAAGATATATTTTTAAAAAATAAATAAATAAAATAAATAAATACAATGGGAGAGAAAATTTATTATCAGGTATCAAGTTTTTCTGAAGTCAACGAATAGGAGATTGCTATGCAATATTGGTCATATACATAAGGATTCCAGTTTCATTAAGATCGAATTGATTAAGCAAGAAGCAGTGCTTTGGAGGCAGTGATTTGAAATTTCTGATTTCCTTCTACAGGTTGATTAAAGAAGGAGAAAAAAGCGCAACTTCGTAAAAGTAAAAATTTTACCATTTCCTTTACCCTAATCCTAAAGACAGGGTAAAGGGTTGTTTTGTTGTTGTTGTTTGTTTTGTATCCACTGAGAAGTACAAGAATTCAGCCACTAGCCCCTATTGATGAGCAATGGGAAGACAGGGGGCCAGTGTTAAGGAAGTTCAATAGCAAATCTACCATGAAAGAAAGTTCATGTAATGAGCATCTTCCCAGCATCTTTCATCACCACTGTGAAACAGCCACTGAGTAAAGAAAAGCAGGAGTGACTCTACGCAGAACTATGCCTGGGAACAATATAAGTCCATTTTCCTCACTACATGGATGGCTCTACTAGGCCAATTGGAGTGAATCCAATGGCTTTCGCCACCAAGAGTTGGGAATTAGAACATTTTGGATGCAGAAGTAAGGTCGAGAACGACTGTAGCCATTAAGCCATCATAATAGAATCCACTCTGAGGCAAAAGTCAATGCATAGAAGCAGGCGGATACATAAGAATATAGAAAAAAGAAGCTACGTCCTAGATCAAACTGCACAATAATTCATTCCATCTCTGGGCTTCTCAGGTACATGACTAAATAAATCACTTTTACTATATTTAAGCCAATTAGAGTTGATTTTTTTATACATACTACCAAAATCATTTACATAGTGAACATGTTTAGGTTTTCCAGGGGTACCCTTGATTTTGCCTGTTATCCTGGTGTAATTATTATTACTGTTCCCTTTTCATGCTCTAAAATATCAAAATTGGCATCATAAGAGAATACAGAAATAAGATCTATCAAATTCTTCTAGTATTGAGGCATGAGATACAGAAATAGTAAAGATTTGACTGCATGGAATTTTGGTCTTAAGGTAGTGGTAAAAATAACCTATTTTCAGTTTATACAATGGAATGTCACATTTTAAGTGGAGGCTCATTATGAAAGACTGATTAGCAATAATCTTACCTATTATGCCCCAGGATAAATAACCAAGTTTATAAACACAGAATCTTCTTAAAGCCTTTATCACACATCAATTAGTAATGAATATAATTGTACATACATACAATTACACACACTACTACAGTGAAACATGTTTAGGCAATGCTATTATTTCTTCTTCTGTGTTAAACTGTGCACTACTTTAGATACCACAAAGAGACCAAAACCAGAATGTAGAATAGAGATAAATTAGGAGTAATTCACATTACAAAAGAAACATTCACTTTAAAGATTCACTATTGATTCCATTTTTTCAATATTTACTCAGCTCTCTTCTTAAATTAAAACTGTTATTAAATGTAGAAAGTTTACTCAAAACATTAGGAGTTCTGAAATATTTTAAGTAGCAAAATACATTTGTATGAAATGTTAAGACAAAAACTGGCTAATATCATTAAGTACAAATTCATGGTATATGATCTTTAAGAAACAAATATGCTTATTTAACAGAAAATATGTTCAGTAAAGAATCTCATCTGTTTTAGTAACAACATCTGGCAATTTTTAACTGCACAGGACATATAGCTTACAACACTCAGGTTGGAATTTATCAGCAATTTCAAATATGGAAAGTAGTTACCTATTTCTTTGTGAGCACATAATGTCCAGATACAGTACTGACATTTTAATGGAAAGATGTTTAAAATTCAGGTAATCAATACAAACATACTATTTCAGATAAAGTACAAATAAGACCACTATTTTATGCCTTCAATGAATATTTAAACTATGTTTAAAATTTTCTTTTAGGTTAACCTTTGAAATAGGCAAAATAAATAATTCCTAAGATACAATAAAATAGGAATATATTTATTTCAGTTTCAATATATTCAGTAATCATAAGTGCTGAAAAATGACTTTACTGCTTCCTATTGCATTTGGCACTTTATGTTCAAAGGTGAGTTTATGTATAATAAGCCTATGATTTTTTTATGAATACTCAAAAATAGAAAAAATAAATTATTTGGTTAAGCCTATACAAGTTATGTCCTCCAACCTGATGTTTTAAATGTTATTAAATACTGCAAATAAGTAATAAAGTATCTGCATTTCCATAGGCAATATCTGAGATTTATAAGTCATACTCATAGTAAAATCTTTGGTTTCAGTAGCAAATCCACATAATGTTATCAGGACCAAATGAAGCACAATTATCCTGGGACACAATCACCCTTACAGGCTGGATTAAATATAAATATGCTCAGGAATGTTCAAACCATCCTGCCCTGCGAGCAAACACCACCTTTCCTCCCACACTCTGCCCTCAGTAACTCTAGTCAATCTTAACAAGATGTTAAAATATGAATAAAATATCACTATGAGGCTTCTAAGAGAAATGAAAGCCACAGAGCACTAAAAAAACACTATTTTAGTGGGAAAATAGGTTGTTTGAAATTTTATTTCTCTAAACAAATATATTAATAATAATGAGAATACTTCATCATGCCAAGCTATTTCATCTCCGCTTACATTGTTTTGCCATCTAACTGGTCTATTGTGAAAGAGTAAGTAAGTACCCATCAACATGAAGACAGTAAGTATCCTTTATTCTGGAATTGGTTTGAATACATCCATTAGCAGAATTCTTCAGCAACAGCTAGCTTGAAGAGGTTTGAAAAGAGAAGCTGAAACATAGGATGGGAAAGATTCAAGAAGACAGATCATTTTATTCAAAATAGGGACTGAACTGGACTTCACAAGGTCCACCAGAAGCTTCATTTGTGAGGAGATATTATTGTCTAACGTGTCATTATCACCAGTTGCTTCAACATTATTTGAAAGCACCTACTTCGCTATCTCTGATCTCAATGAAAACTTTGAGGATACATTTGTCAGACTGGACATTGTCGGAAGCCACAAGATTTGAGAATCCTTCTTTATGGTATTTGCACTGTTTATATGAGTGTAATCCCCCAGCCAGCAAATGGACCAACTGCATTTGTGGCCTCCCAGTAAGTGAGTAGACCTGAGTGAACAGGGCGTTTCCTTGAAAATTCTTGCTCCTGAAATCCAATTTTGATGTTGAAAACTCTCCACCTATGGTTCCTACAAATACACCCATTTCTCCTCTGAAAGAAATAGAATATTACCTCCCAAAATGGAACAAACATACAAGGAAACAAATGACCAAGGGGTGAAAAGGGGCAGGAGAAAACTAACAGGAAAAAAGTACAAATTAAGTTTATAAGTTAAACTTAATTGCAGTAAGTATAATAATACTAATTATCCTGAGAAATGGCAGCTACCCCCGCTCTCAAGTTGAGGTAGAGCTTTTGAAAGAAAAATACACATATCATAAGCCTTAAAACCACTATACTAATAATTTAAACTATCTGATTAAAATTTACAGTGATTTCTACACAACACCACAAACCTTCCAAACACTTATTTCGTAGCAGTTATCATACTTCAAAATTTGTTTGCAATGTTATATCCTTGTCAAAAGTCAACCAAAACAAAAGATTTGTGGTAGGAAGCAAAATAAAAAAATAAATTAATTAAAAAAAAAGAAGCCCCTGATATAAATATGCTTTAAGACTTTACTCATTAATTAAGACCTTACTCATTAATTAACAAGAGACTTTTGCTCATTACTATATGCCAAAAGAAAATACTTATAAATGAAGAATGGACAAACAAGCTAAGAAATACCAGAATAATTACACTATAAGAAACATAATTCTACTCTCTTTATACCAGGGACATTGTCTTAACATATCAGAGAGAACAGAAATGAGACTAGAGACGTCTCAGTAAGTACACTGCAGACTGAAGATTATTAGGAAAATGAAAACAGCACTGAAGTGTTGGAATAATTAAGTAGAAATTTAAAAGTATGAGGATAGAAAAGACTCCCACTGTGCAAGGAAGGCATCTGAGTTTACATTTGTCCATGTTGAAGAATCAGATAAAAGTATTAGGCCACCTGAACAAATTCTCATCTATAATATGGCTCAAGATATCAACCTTAATTATGTGCAATTACATTAGAGTGTATGATAAGAAAAAGTTTAAAAATTCATAGTAAATAAAAATATATGTTTTGCTTACCTTTTAAATGTTCTTTCTCCTCTTTTCTATGCCAGTCCAGATGCTTGGGTATAGTTCCTCCCTGCCAGTAGATGGAGATAGTAAAATTGAGTCTTTTGCTGACCTCAAATCCTAATCTAGGTGGTTCAGAATCTTCAATTTCAGATTTTGGAAGTAAAAAAAATTTTGAATGATTGAAATGACACATAAAGCTTGTAAAAATTATTATCTTAGTCAAATAAACTTTTATTCATGGTCATTGATACCAATTTTTAAGGGAGAGGGTCTTGGCTGGCATAGAAAAAAATAAAAGAAAGAGCATTATTTTGTGGGATCTATTCCCTTGACTCTTCATTCTTCCCAGATTTCAACAAATATATATTGACTATATACTAAAAATTGTAGGTTACTGGCTAAATGCTTTCATATACATTATCTAGTTAATGTTTTTAACAACCCCATAAAGTGGTAATTATTATCCCCAAACATCTTGTCTCAGAATCTATATTTTTAAAAGTTCCATATGGTGAGCTGCTGCTTGCTTGCCAAGTTTTTGTAGTCCTCCTGGTGTTCAGTTAATGGCTTCTCGAATATAAGGAGAATTCATTTCTTCTTCCTACTGATAAAGAGACCTTGAAGTTGTTGGAAGTTCATGTGCTATTGGTAAAAACTTGTTTTGTTTAAGTTTATTTTGAATTAATACAAATCCTCTAACAGCTATCCAGGAAGAGATTAAAAGGGCCATGGGGAAGCCTTTCTACAGAGATTAACTAGATCATCTGAAATAAAATGGGGTTCAGGAGTAGCATTGCATGAAACTGTTTTTCTTTGAGAAATTGCATACTTAAGATCAAATTCATAGGAATAAGCATTACAACTTGTGATTACTAACAATGGCTTATGAAAATAATACAATTATGATTTTCCAAAGCTAACAGGAGGATATACAAGTACCTCTTGAAAATGATAGAAAAAAGCAAAGCTAAGAACATTCAAAAGTGAATTGGATGTTGATGAATTATGAAATAATTGGTTCCATTTTTCTCACTTAGCTTAGGAAACCCATTGAAATTGTAATTAAATGGAATTTATCTCTTATCACAAATGAAGTCTAAGTTCCAATATTCCTGGTAGTCATGTTCAACGACTTGAATTCAGTGGAACAAATGGGGCATACAACTACTTTAGGAAGACAGGGCATACAACTCCCTAAATAAGAGTAACAGCAATTGTTCAATAAGGACTGGTTAAAATAAACTACTCCCTGTTAGTCAGTCACCTTAATCACCCTGCTCAAGTGAATACACTACTATTTATATACCTCTCTAAAGTTCTTGTAATGATTTTCAGACTACAAAACACTTTCTTACACATGTTTTTCAGGTTATTACAACAATCCTAAAAACCCAATGGATTATGCAGACTTTATAATTGTGAGTTGGCTGTCATAGTAAGTTGACCATAAAATTTCTTGTCCAAACCAACACACTTATAAGAGTGAAAGTATGTGCTCTTATTGTGTCAGGACAACAGATATAAACCATGACAGTCCCCAGAAAATTTGAACATATGATTTCCCTAATGACAAATGACAACGTTAATCTTCAATCAAATCCTTTGCATCTAAATCCTATTTTCTTCACACTACATCGCATGACCCCAGGACGTCTTTCAACCTGGATCTGTGTGATCGCTTAAGTGCACATGTTCCTCTTAGCATCCTTATGCAACTTAGCACACTGAATAGAACGTTTTCTTTGTTTTCATGAATTTGGTAACATCTATTACATTTAGAATACTTTATTTCAAGATGGGTTAAAACAACAGCAGGTTTGCTGTTTTGTAAGTACTACAAAAAGAACAATCCTAATAACTTTTTCTGTTTAACTGCTCTTTAATGGGCTATTTGTGAGGTGTTTCTAATACTAGCATTTAAGCAGCAGGCATTTTACCAGTTACTACTGATTTGCAGGAGTCTGGTTCCATTTCACTGCTTGGAACAATGGGATTGACATTAATTCTACTTCTGGTTGTAAACATTCTTCTAGAATTTGGTACTCCTTACAAATGATAAATTCCATATAATTTAGATAAGATAAGAGATCTTTTCAAATGCACTCAATGATTAGGGTTAACTGGTATGAAAAATAAAACTGTACTAGTCTGGTCAGAGTGGCTCATGGTTGGGCATCGACCTAAGCCCATGATCCAGCAGGTCGTGGTTCGATTCCCGGTCAGGGCACATGCCCGAGTTGCGGCTTTGATCCCTGGCAAAGGGGGGGCGTGCAGGAGGCAGCCGATCAATGACTCTCATCATTGATGTTTCTCTCTCTCCCTTTCCCTTCCTCTCTCTAAAATCAATAAATATATATATTAAAACTGTACTAAAAGTAAAAGCTGTTTATCCTTCACAATGAATGAAAGCCTCACACATACATTCATTTATTTCCTTGATTATTTAGTCTTTAAAATACCTGCATGTAATTTAATTAGCAAACTCTAAAAGACCATGCATTCTGCTGAGGTTTTTATTTTGTCCTCACTGTTTGCTTTTTATTACTGTATCCCCAAAACATAACCCATAATAGACAATAAATATTCGACTGACTATACCGCCTAGGAATAAAGCTCACATTTCACCTGCAAACATATTACAAAGGAAACCTAGCAGATAAAAAGGATGACATGTGGGTTGTCTCCTGGTCTACTGTTGCTTTCTGAAAAGATGTGACCAAAATCCCTCACATTATATGCAATGATACCAGCCACCTACTGCCATGTCATCGAATGTTTCTATGAAATGAAATTATATTAAATTCCTGTTTGAAATTACTTTACATCATCTTTGTGAAATCAAAAGTCAAATACAGCAGGTCTTCAAATAACGTAATTTCAATGTAATGCTGATAAGAAAAAAAAATTGATTCCTGGCCGGGGCACTATCTGTGTGGAGCTCACAAACTTATTTTAGTTAGCCGTATGCTTTAATTTTTATGTGCCAAATGAGAGGTATGAAAAGTAATGTTTAGAACTGATTAAAAATATTATGGATGGTAGAATACTGCAGTAGCATCGTTATGATAAAGAACATACCAGTAGGATGACCTAGACAGAAGAATATAATAATGTAGGGAGTTTTTGAGACAAAAACAAACCTCGACATGATTTGCAATGTCTATAATCCAGTGTCCCTTTATAATTGTCCCAATTATAAAACAAGACTTCAGAATTTCTCAAGGATGTTAAACTTTTGAACCAAGTATTTAAAAGCAAGATCTATTTTTTTATCCTTAAACCAATGGCTTGAGAAAGTTTTGAGAATCTGATGAAAGGTATGGGTGCTCAAACCAGAAAATTATATATCCAAATGCACTCTCATAGTTTTCACACAATAGCATACAATTTCAGAGTATAAATCCGGCCCAAAGAAACTATCTATGAACCATTTTATCTATGAAACCATGGGTAAGAACAGTAAGAACAGTTTCTCCCAAAATAACTTGTCCATTTTAAGCAAAGCAGACAATGAGTTCCTCACTCCATGAGCAGATGGTCTACAGAGCCATTTTTGGTAACATAACATCAGAATAAAACACTAACCAATTTAGCAATCTGGGATTAAAAAAGAAGTGCATCCTGAAAGACTAACTTCAATTTCAGAGTGAACTGAAATATATATATATAAATTATATATGCATAGTAGATATATAAAGTAATATAATAGGTATAGCATGATTTTTACATAAAATAATGATAATATTTCATATACTTCAAATGTAACTCCATAAATGTCTTTAAATATTTTGGGGGGGGGAAATGTATCTAACATGGGTAATTTAGAACAACTAAGAATTCTTTACATTTGCTAAAAATACTGTTATCTTTTCTGGAGAAAATTTTAAAGATTTAGTATCAAGAAATGTATATACAACAGAACATAGCAGATAATTTGATGGCATTCCCATATTTCCACAAGGATTTGTTTACCACAATAGTTTTTAAGTGCAAATGACAAAAGCAGTTACCAACTTTTGAACACCTATTGTGAGCTAGAAACTTTTAGACACTCAAAAGAACTATCTCATAGCAGTACTGTGAGGAAAGCTTAATTATCACCACTCCAAGGAGAAAAGTTATAACTAGATTAAGACATCATGAACAGACAGAACAAAAAAGTAGTAACAAACATGAACCCCACAAACTGCAGGTATGGACTGATAACGGGCTGCTCCCTTTTATGGCAAAGGGAAGCAGTGCCCTGATGGGGACTAGTAGCAGCAGGACACGTATTTTTTAATGGGCAGTGGTTCTCGGAGCCATGTAGGTGGTTCAGATAGCTGACAATACATCTAATTTGACCCTAGTTCTTTTGTGTAATCATCTTTGGATTCAGGCTCATGGAATGCTCTGAAATCATCATCACTTCTGTACTTGTTACTGAAGAGTTAAGTGTAATGGAGAAGACAGTCAACAACTGTGGTCTCATTACTTTATATTTACGCCCTCCATAAAAATACACTGAAACAGTATAGTATAAAAAGCACAATATAATAAAAGTTCTATAAAGGAGTTAAATTATAATTATAAAAATATTTCTTTACCCACAAATTTTATCTTTTAGTGAAGAATAAAATATTTAGTATGCACATTAAGCTGAAACTTTTAGTAAATCCTGTACAGAACATATTATAAATAGAACTAGATTTCAGAACTCTGACCAAATAATGCAGTCAACAAATATAGGATGTCCCAAAAAATATATACACACTTTGAATAATTATTCATTCTAATGGGGTTTAATCTGAAAAGAAACATCAATTGAGCTCTCAGCTTTCAGCAGTGTATACAGTTTTGGGGCCACCCTGTGTTCATCCACTGCCTACTGAGTTAAGGGTGTGCGAGGTGGAGCTGGACTGCTGCACTGGGGTCCTAGCTCACTGCTACAACCTCAAGTGTTATTAGCTTGAGTTACAAATTTCACCAAATATGCCCATTCCTGTATGCTTTTATTAGGGTAAATTTTTAAGTAAACAAAATGAAAAGATGAGCACAGGACATATTATCTTCTACTTCTAAGATAGT